GAACAGCATCTGTGATAACCCACAGCCATCCTCAGACACTGTGGATCTTGGCAGATTCACTGCTAAGATATAAAACACATGATGAGCACGTAGTGACATCAAAAGGAGTGCAGTGTAATGGTGTTCAGATGTCTCTCCTCAAGCCCACACAAAAGCTGCTCTGAGGGCTGCTGTAGCTCAGAACTCTCAGTGATTCCCTTTTGATAAGCCTGTTGTTATCAAATCCAAGGAGTCTTATGAGCACCACTTTCTGACTTTGTTCCTTTGCTAACTGAAGAGTATGAAGGCTTCTTCTGTTGTCTGGAAGACGTGTGGAGGTTCAGGTTTTAGACCTCAAATCCTGTTTTTACTTCAGAAGCTGATTGCACAAGCGGACAGTGAATGAGTGTCTCCGTTTCCCTTGCGGTCAGAGAAGATCCTATTCATACTGAGTTTACAAGCAAACACTTCCTTTGGTAAGCTTCCCATGCAATTCAATTCATGTGCGTGCTTTCAGGCTCTGTCTTTGGGTCTGGACTAACATCAGAACAAGCAAGAGAGGCAGGCTGTCTTTTCAGCCCACCACAGCCTTTTCTGCAGTGCTTTGAAATGATGAAACACACTGTGTTTTCTGCACACTGCTGCAGTCCTGTCAAGTCACTGGGATTATTCATGCATCAAGAGGCTAAGCACATACATGGGTATCTACTGGATGATGTACACCCATTCCAGAATTTTACTTGCTTAACAATCAATCTAATGTTTTTGCTCTTTATAGTTACTGGCTGGGAGCCTAGAATCTGCTGGCACCTACACACAGGATTCTCCTCTGAGCATTCTGTGACCACGTCAGGTGTTTGAAATATTATGTATTAACAATAAGTACTTTATGACCAGCAAATAAATTATTATTTATGGAAGACTTGGAATTTGCAATCAGTAATAGTCTGTACCTGTAGAGAGGAGCCATCAGCTTAAGGCTTTGGCTGTAGTAACAGAAATGAAGACCTGTCTTTGGGATATTCTAACATTTTCCATTCCACAAAGCCCTTTTCTAAGTGCATCCTCTTCACTGCATAACAGAGCACTATCCATTAGGCAAATGTTTAGTTAATGGACACAGCAGAATCCATACATGAAGGTTTTTAGGGAAGGTGAAGATTAAGATTCATTTGAAACAGCAGTGAAATTCAATAAAGTTGCACAGTGAATTCTAAGCTAGTTCTGGCCACAATACTAGAGCTATTCTTGAGAAAAATGTCATGAGGGACTTGTGACCACAGGTAGGTAAGACCTTTGTCATCAGCCACTCATGAGGAAACATGAGTATCCAAGAGGACATTGTCTAAAATAAGGCAGTGTGTTGGCCTTGGCTGTTGAGTCATCAGTATCACTTCCTGCAGCCCCTGCTTTTGCTCCGTGTATTTCTCAAGGGAGCACTGACTAGGTCTTTTTGATTCTTCTAGAATGAATAAGATAACAGCTCCAGAGCAGTAATGATGAATATGTCCTTGATTCAGAGGAATGTGCACTCCTTTTAGCACAAGTGTGCTAAATCTTCCATGAGATGCCTGATTAGTTTTTATCTCTACTTGTCATGGCTTCACTGATTTGAAAACTTCAGACTCTCTAGTTGTAAAATGGAGAATTCACAGGAAGAATCTGTTCAAGTGAGAGAGCAAGCTGTGTTAATGGCTTGTGCCTCAGGGTGCCACTGAAAGCTGTTGTATGTGGATCTCTCTTGTCTTTAATTCAGTATTTGCCTAGACATTTCTTTAATCCCTCAAAATACTATGTGGAACTTCTCTAGCAGAGACAGATTCTCACCAGTTTTCAGTGACAGATCCTTCTCAGCTACACTGAGGTTTGCTGCATTTGTAAAGCACACCTTACGGAAAAAAAAAAAAAAAAAAAACACCTGACCTCTGAATTTCTTTTTTAAAATATCATTGCAAAATTTCTGACGTCAGACAATGAGACACAAATTACCCTGTGAACTGTTAACATATGCCTGTTTACATATGATATCTTATAGCCAAAGCAGATTAAGATTTGAAGGTTTAACTGCTGTTGAGTTTCCACTTCTGTGAATCATACAGATCATACAGCTTATTCATCACAGGCATTTATTTTTATTCTTTAACTCTTTCAAGCTACTTCTTCCCAGAGCAGAGTTTAGGGGGAACATGGGAGGCATGGGAACAGAGAGATCACAACTGCACAACAAACCCCAAACTTTGCAAATGAAAGGGCAAAGAGCTGCCATTAACTGCAGCCACCCCAGTGAATCAGTAGTGGTTTTTATCTTGCACCAGGTGAGCTGACAGGCACAGAAACCTTCCCCAGCTGCCAAGGTTAGTCTGTCCTTCCACCTAGTTAAGTGCCAGCTGCAATGGATGCTGATGACCTGCTCTGGAATCTTTCAACTTGAGGAAAATTACTTGTAAGAACAAACAAGAGAGAACCAGCCATGACAAAATCAACAGGATGGCTCAAGTTTCAGGTTCAAAGAATAAAATATACCATTCATCATACTAGGATTCCTTGGATGCTATGTTATAGTTTTAGTTCAGAAATGCCAAACGTTTTGGTGAGAATTTCACCGATTTCAGTAAACACAGGCAATTTATTCTAGGACTGGAATCTGTGTGGTGCATCACTGATTCTAATGGGACTCGAGTACTCTCACTAGCAACCCTGACACAAGTGAATGAGTAGCTGTCTTTTTCTGGATAACATGGCCATATTTTAAAAGAGGAATCTCTGCTGATAAAAGAAAGAAACCTACCTCTATTTAAATACACATGCCTATTCACCTCAGATGTGATTATTATTAAAGCTAGGCAGGTGAGTGCTGCCAAATATCAGTCCATTTCTTTCAGATGAAACCAAGAAGGATTTCAGAATTAGGCTGCACTTCACTTGCTGTTCAGGTTCTCTGATTCACTGACACTGGCTGGCTCAGGCTAGTGAAGGAGAGAAGGAAGATGATGTATTTTGAAGGAGGAATATGAGCATCCAAAAATACCTTTCCTTTTAAGAGTGGCCATAAGTGACTGACTATTTGTTCTTTTCATTTAAAGTGTTGCTTCAGATTTGTTTGGTTTTTTTCTCCCAGCTGCATCATCTTAAGCAGGCACTTCACCTTATTACCTGTGGATTAGCTAACAGAGGCTGAGTGCAGCACTGTGATGGGTAAAGCCTCTTTTTCACGTAGGACAACAAGGTGTAACCAAGACAGCAATCTCCCTCACAGCATTACTCACTGGAACATGAGGGCAATGAACCATATCAGGAACTGCAGCAATCCAAGGCTATACTGGTTCAAATGCCACAGGTAGCAAATCAAACCTGCTGCCACCAGTTTGTTGGTAGGAATCCGGGTATAATTTACCATTTATAATGTTATGTGTTATTGGAAGGCAGTCTCAAGCAACCCAGACACCTACACAAACTAAATTTGAGGTGCAACACCTGTGGCCATGGAAAATGTATGTACATCTTTGCATCTGAAAACTTGGGAGGCTGGTTATCACTAGGGATTGAATTAGATCCAAGAGGACAATATTAATGCACTTCTGCCAGAAACTGCAGAGCTTGTTTAACCAATGCAAGTTTCTGTTTCTGACTGTTCTGCTTAGAAATGGTTCGAGAATAAATTAACCCGCAAACTTAAAGATGAAACAAAAAGGACATCCCCTCCGTTTTTTTTCCCTGAAAAACGCTATTGTTAACATCTTTCCTTGTGGTATTTAAGTGAAAATCAGTGACCCACCTTAAAAGCTATAGGTTTGAGCCCTGAGGTATCTTAAAAGGGACCTGATTTTACACAGGAAAATACAAACGAGTACATACATACTGCTCAGCCACCCCCCAGTCCCTTTCAGCAATTTCAGCCAGGCTTCCATGGCAGAAGCATCCACGCTCACAGCCAAGTTGAAAAAAGATGGACCTCGGGGGTTAGACCACATAATGAAAATTAGCCAGCCAATTCCCATGAAGTGTTTTGAACACAAAAGCCCAGTGCAACTAATAATGGTCCAGTTCTCTTTTTCAGCTGTGAAATCAGCTTGCAGATTAATATTCTTCAATTACAAAATAACAATTTTCAGCTTGAAGTGGTTTGTGCTCTTAAGTGCAATTGGGGTTAATAATGGTCTATGAAAGGAGAGCTGTTAGCAAACAGTAACCCAGAGTGAAAACCTTAGCATATGGGTACCTCAGCTACATTTTACATGAAATGTTGGACTGTAAATGCAGAAAAATTACATAGGAAAATACCATCCAGCCCACTAAGGATGCCAAAGTTCAAAGAAACCTGTATTTTCTGCTTACATATGCCAAGAGATAATTGCCATCTGACTGCCAAGGCAGCTCCTTTTACCTATGGCTATTTCTAACTCGTGTATATATATGCCTTATCTGCCTGATGTGTTCAGATAAATTTAGGCAATAAAGAGTGTCACAAAATTTAAGTTCTTTTCTGTATCTGTGCCCAAAAGCATAGATATCTGAAGCTTATATGAGATTAACTGCTTTTCAATCCAAGGTATATAGTTACAATATATTTGTCCTATCTAAAATTTAGTTATTGGAATACCTCTGTAAATAATTGTAGTCTTCTAGCCTACAATATTAAGGTAAAGCCTTCTGGGACTCCCAAATGCAAAAAGCCTGAATTAAATGCTTCTGAATTTCAAAAGAAAAGCCTAAATCAGGGCAGAGAGTTCAAAAATTATAAAAACAAGGCTGAGATCCTCAAAGCTGAGCGGTTGTTCTCTGTGGCCACAAGGTCTAAGTGTTCAACACTCTGAAAATTCATCTCTGAGGTTTGTGTTAAAACACGGGCATGGTCCCAAGCACTGAAAATCCTTGGTCACAGTCCCCTACTCCAAGCATTTCCAGTAGTTACAGAGACAGTAACAGAATTATCTGCAATATAGAGCAAAGCACTCATTACTACATGCTGGCAGGATCTGTATCTCTAATACACTGAAGAAACTAGCAGGCTGACAAGGAAGTTTAAATGCTGCAAAAACATGCTTTATTTACCAAATGCAAGCTTTTAGAAATTCAGGAAGGTAGACAAAACCCAAACAAGTTTAACTGGAATTTCTTATATTCCTGAGTTCAAAAAATACTTTCAGTTACAACAGAGACCTTCAACAGGGACCTTCAACTTCGGCTATAAATGAAACATTTAACAATGACTTACCTATAAATTAAACACTTAACAAGTAACAATCAGTTATACAACCGATTTAGAACCAGCAATTTATCTCACAAGACCTCTAATAACAAATTTTCTTTGTGGCAGTAGCATATCCAGCTCACATGTCCATTGTTGCCCAGCTTTGTTTTTTCTGACTGTCAAGCACTCTTTTAAGTATTTCATCTGGTACAAGATCTGATCCTTTTACATCATCATGGCTGCAGCCCATTTTAGGGCATCTGTTAAAAAGAAAAAAGACACCATTAAATTTGAAGAATTGTATTTGTCAGATAGAGGCTTTTACATAACATCTGCTAGCTGTTTTTTTCTAATCTAGGATTCACTCTTTCTGTCAGTTCCTTGTTACCTCTTGTCCTCTACACCAGATCTACGTGAGAAAAAATAAATCTATCTCAGCTGGTGACAATCATCAGCTGAAGGAAGGAAAGAAGGAGCACAGTAAGAGATGGAGCCTTTCACCTGCAGACCACTCTCTTGCTTCAAGCACACAAGCTGCCTTCATCAGCAATGATATCAGCACTGCATGGACACCTTTCTGTGTTGCTTTCTCTCTCTGCTGTCCTCTACAAACTGCAGGTAAATACCTCTTACCTTACTAATCTGCAGTGAGAAGGTATAATCTTCACTGGCAGATAAGTAGGGAAATTATTTTCTAGGGAAACAAATAAAAGGGAATGAGTCTTGCCACGACTGACTGGTGAATCAGTGGACTATCTAGTTGGTGTAAAAAGTCATCCTGACTTTTTACGAGCTGTGAAAGCTCAGAAAGGAGAAATGGGGTCAAATTAACAGCCTCTAGATGATAATCAAGTACAAAATGTCTTACAACTACTTGAAACAGCCAGATAAAGACAGCAGGGTGAAAGATATTCAGGGACAAAAGGTCATTTTCCTTTGGTGGCAGCCCAAACATACACAGGTGGTACCTATAGTCAGAAACAACACTTTTCCTGAATTTCTCCTCTCTTAGAGTAACTTTTGTCTGAGGTGCTGAACTCGTTTACACTCAGTACTCATAACTTTTCCTCCAGATTCATCCACAGCTTATTGTGTTTGTCATAGATCAGTCATTTAGTTGCTCTGTGCCTCAGTTTTCCCATTTATCACCTTAATACAGCAATAGCTTGCCAGATTAATGAATAACAAGTGCTCAGAAAGCTTTCCACATTTCCTGTAAGCATAAAGCATTAGTATGTCCTTCCAGGCAGTGGAAAATAGTGAGCAAACCAAGAGACGTAAGAGTTGCCTCAAGGAGAGTGTGACAAGTCTGTCAGCACAGGGCTGTGTGTACGTCAGCTGCAGGGCTGGCACTGCACTGCCAAGGGCACTGGAAGGATCCCATGGATCCAAACTGGGAAGCACTTGTGAGGAAACAGCCACTCAGTGTCTCCAGAGTGAGCAACAGCTCTGACTGCAGAGTCAGGATAGTGAGGATCCTGCAGTCATGCCCCGCTCTGCCAGGACACCTGCTCCCACAGGAACATCCCTGGCAGGAGCACAGCCCAGCAGCCATGCCATGAAACTGGGATACTGAAACAAGGACCTTGTTGCAACAGCTGGCCTGTCCTCCCACCACAGCAGATGATGGGTTTTCAAAGTAACTGCATTTTCATGAGAAAGCTTAAAATTGCAGTAGGTTGGTCAGACTGGGCAGAGAAAATCAAGGAGTCCTTCTTAATTTAGTTACAGTGAACCTGTGGCATTGCCTCTGTGTGTGTGTGTTTTTCTAGCACTGGAATAAGTGCTGTACAAGTGGTAAGGCTGCAAGCTAAAAGCTCAATATTTAGAACTGCCAATGTTCAGACTGCACAAATAACTTTGGTTTGGGTATTAAGTAGCTTTTAAAGCTAGGTGTTGTATAGCTGATATGATTTTTTTAACTCTAGAGTTTCTCTAGTCTTCCATTTCTTAAAAGGTAAAATTCAATCATGAGACCCTATTTGTTTTTCTGCAGAGCTGAAACTTTTGATCCACTACAACAATTTCTTCTAAATTGACATTATTCTGATAGATTTAACAACGCAGAGAAATATTTAGATACAAACATCCTAAATTCAGTATCAGAGGTGTTCTTGTCATTGGGCTGTTGAGCACGTGCTTTTTAGCCTCTCCCTATCTTCCAGAACACGCACTTTCCTCCAACTTGAGAGCTATTTCCCAATTCCTGTTCATTTTTCCAGCCAAGTTTCTGTCCATCCATGTTGCTGGTTTTGTTGTTATTCCCAGTATATTACACCCATTCCATATTTTCCCCTAGACTTTGTAACACAAGCAAGGTACTTCCATCTTGTTCTTCAAGCTGTCTTGACACTGAGATACAGGCTGGGCATCCCAACTGATGGTTGGTTTTATAGCAGTGCTTTCCTGGAGCAGGGAAGGAGCCTGGAATGAAAACTTCAGCTCCACCTTTGTAACCCCCATGGATGACTGTGCAGGGCCTAACAGAATTGACAGAGCAACAGATGGAGGAAATAATGCCTGTGGCATTATCTTCAGGGAAATCAGGTTGCTGGTCTCTGACAGACCTTCCTGAGCAAACTGCACATTTACTAAGAAGTCCACAACTGGTAAGTTTCCATGAAGTCATCAGCCCCAGAACAGGAGGATCTAGCATAAATGGTGTAAAAACAAATGCGAAATCAATGATGAGATTATATGCCCTCTCAACTTGCTCCAAAAAGCGTATTGTATATATTAGCATTCAAGCCTCTTTTGGGGTTTTTTTGTTTTTTTTTTTTTTTTAATTTTTTTTAAACATCATTCTCATTTTCAAATTTACTGTGGAGAATTTGAGGTTTAAAAATTCAAATGTTATATCTTTTCATTCAAAAAAATATGTCCCATATGGAAAAGTGACAGACTATTTTGGTGATATAAGAAAAGAATTATATAACTGCATCATGGTAGGAACTGCACTGCACTATCTGATCTCATTCTTAAATTCTTTTCTACCTAAAATGTTGTAGTTTAATATTTCTCACTTTGACATTCAGTTAATATTTCTGAGCTGTATTGGAATATAACTGCAAAAAGAAGGTGCACAGAGGAAATTTTTTTTCATTTACTTCAAAGCTTGCTACATAAGCAGTGGGAACAAACCAGCAACTAAATTTTAGGACACTGAAGTCTCTGTTGGTTATGGCTGTATGAAATTTCTTTACTTCTGTTGTGCAGATACAAGTAGCTGTAATTTCCCCACATAATTCCTGAATATTTCCTTACACATTGTTTTCATTAAAAAGAAAAGCACCTTCACGTGTCTAGTACTAATGAGGAGACTGTGACTTGGGCAGACACTGAGGTTTTACTTCCTGCAGTCTTTCCAATCAAAATACATTTCCTAGAATAACTGGAGTAAAATTTCACTTACACAGCAAAGCAAATAGTTTTTCCACACATTCTTTTTAGCTTACCGGACTTTTCTCTTTTTCAGCTTTTGAGTCTGGATCATTTCTAGAATGGCATCTTCTTCATAAATATGTCCACAGACTTTGTTCCGCACTGGCCTCTTCATTGTCATCTGTAATCAGTAAGGATTGATTTAAAGGAACTGAGAATGCCCAAGAGAATGCTTCTTCTGAGATTTTATGTGAAACAGCAGGAAGTGTGTTTGCCACTCATACATGGCATTCCAGTCAAATTACGGGATGAGGTCCTGCTTGGTAAACTACATTCACACTTACATGGGTTTTCTTCCCAAGCAGTACTGCTCTTCTCTGGTAATGCTTAAAACTTATACAATTTTGTTGTTAAATAGAATGTTATTTAATAGGTACTGCAGATTCGTAATAAACAAACCAATGAAGAATATGAAATAACTATTTCCCTGTCAATTACTGTAGCAGTGATACATACCTGTGTAATGGGACAAATAAAGTTCGTCTGACTCCGAGTCACAGCTATATCTTCATCAATTTGTTCAATGGTGTCATTACCATGATCTGATTTATGAGAAAGTAGAATGGGAAAAAAAAGAAAAAAAAAAGTTTTTTATTTAATGTAGATTGCCAACCTTTGCCAAGCACTATCTCACAGTGATATCTAAAATACCACGCGTGTTTCTGTACCATTCTATGAACAAGACACTGCAAAAAATACTGTACTATAACATCTTTTAGAAAATGAGGATTTTTATATTGTGTCTACTTTGTGTGTGTGTTTGTGTGTGTGTGGCTAATTACAGCCAATGCTAGAAAGAAAGGCTGGGAAAGAGACCAGGCTGGCCTGAAGATATGCAAAACCTTTGCTATTCACTATTCAAGTTCACCAAAACCCTGTAACACACAGATGAGTCCCCAGAATCTAACAAAGGATGAGGTGGAGTAGATCTGGCAGTCCTACCCTCAGTATCAGTTGGTATTTGAGTGTCATAAATGGGCTTGCTGTATAGCCTGTATTCACTGTACACACTTTAAAAGGAATTTGTACTGTTTGTCATAATGCATTATTTATAAAGTGATGCTGTTGTATTTTGATAAGACTATAATTAGTGAAAAACAAAAGCCAGAAAGTGTCACAGACAACAGAAATGTTATTGAATTAACCTTAAAGAGGACGGGCAGGATGAAATACTGACAATTCCCAGAAAACGCCCAATGGCACAATGCCAAGGAATAAAGGGCAGACAAACAAGAATAAATCCACCTAGAGCTGGAGGACCAGCAGGTCTCACCTTTACCAGAAGACAAAAGGTGTAAGCAACTCTGTGCACCCAGGGGCACACCAACTGGTGTTCCGTGCAGAAGTTAGTTAGCCAAAGTCAAAAGCTGAGACATGGGAGCAGCTAAGGAGGAGACAAATAGGTGTATATATATATATTTATATATATTTAGAGAGAGAGTGAGACCTAAGTACAGCCTTAATGAAATGCATACATGTTGTTTTATCTTCTAGCTCTCCTCTGTTATTTTAGATCTAGGCTTTTAGTTGAATGCATTTGTTTATCTTTGAATCTTATCTGGTAATAACAGCAAACTTAACACCTGCCATAGCTTTCCATTCCTTTGGGGAAGTTCTGCCATGCCTTTGCAGAGGCAGAGAAGGGCCCTGGGGTGTAGTCCTTAAGGTGTCCCAAGCAAAGAGAACATTTTTCTCTCCAGCTGCACAAGCTGCACTCCAAGGGAGGAGTGAGAAACACAAGTGGACAGGGAGAGTTTAGAATTACTTCATGATTTGTCTTCTACTGCATCTCAGCCAGGGTTCCCTGGGCTGCTGTTGCACACTATCAGCTAATCTTTGCATCCCTGGTATTCAGTCTTCCACATCTATTAAGGACCAGTGTTTCCTAACTTATGGTCAGTCCTGCATGCCTGTGTGATACCATCACCTTCCGGATGATACCAGCAGACAGCACCTGTGGAGCAACCTAAACCTCTCACACCCAGCCTAGGCTGAGCTCACTGCCCTGTGAGCCAGCACAGCTCTGCCTGGGGGACTCTTGGCATTGATGCAGCCATCACTCCACCACAGCACCTCTTGGTATGCCAGGCCTATTTCCAGATCTTCCTCCTTAAGAGAGTTTGCCCTTCTTTCCATTTCAATATTCCAAGCATTTAGGAATGTTTCTGACCCAGGTGCTCTAACCCCAGGTATTGGGGTTGGAACTAGATGACCTTTAAGGTCCCTTCCAACCCAAACCATCATATGATTCTATTCCTGTGAATACCACGGGAATACTCAGGTAATCATCAAGGATATTTCTGTGTCTGCTACTAAGGTCTCATTCAATCAATAGGGTGTGGATTCTGAGGAAAAAGGAGCTCAAAGGTCAATCATAATTTCAAGGCTTTAATCTCCAAGAATATTAGCATAACTTCATCAGATACTGACCACCTAACAAAGGCAAACACTTGCATATCAGAAGGAAAAAGTAGGCACAATTTATTTATAAATACCAAAATTGCAACAGTATGGACACCAGAAATGCACTTGTGTTAGTCACCAGTTTTCAGAAAAAAACTGTCACATAGTATTCTTAGATTGCTCATATATATGGTTTATTCTATCATAAGCACATAGTATTTGAAGGAGGTACAATTTTTGGAGGGAAAAAGTTTTTTTTAATTAAGCTTTTGAAATACAAAGTAATGGGTGAAATTCCACTAAGAGAGCAAGGCTAAGAAATACTGGAGTTATTGGCAGGTGGCAGCTTTGGCATATGCTGTTTTACTTCAATATTATGATTTTTTTTCTATAAGGAATACCAACGAAGAACAAGAGATTCAGATTGTCCTTAAATTCGCCTATCTGCTAATTTTGACATACTGCAGCTCTAATCTTTCCTATGGAAAAGATCACATTTTTCTATGTTTTACCTTGTTTCAACCCGTGAACTTGGCATGTAATTCCAGTGTACCAGGGCATCACATCCATTAGTGACATTAGAAAGCATCAGTAATAGCAAGATCTAGGACAGGGGATTGCTTACAAAAGATGATTTTTTAAAAGAAATCAATATGTAGGTGCCAAGGAAGGTGGGTGAATTTTTAAGATGTGGGGCTTGTGCCTTTGACTTTACTTCTAAAACCCAACAATATAAAATAGGCATGAAAGTGGCTTTTCTGGAAGTGTATTCATCTGTGTAGCACCTTCTGACTTTGCTAAAGAGTCACCACTTCCCTCATTACTTCTGTGTATGCTTACTTAAATACTGACACAAGAATTTAGGAGAATGTAGTGAAGCATCCAAGTTCAAAAACATGAGCTCAAGGTTGGGTACTGGTGCTTGAGCCTCCCCTGAAGGCCTCAGGTCTCTAAATTATGTGAGCTAAATCCCAGGCTGGGGTAACTTTTTTCCCATACTGACTTTGGAGGTGATTCAGATGCCTCATGTTTAATGGTTGAAATTTCATGAGTTGAGACCTAATCCTTGTAGGTGGGGTATATTAATCTTCTTGGATTCAAACTGTCCTCTTGCTGCAAGCTTATCTTAAGCACTTCAGGTTGCATTTCATTTGCAATGATTTTGTATACAGCCTATCAGATTGGGGCCCTGGCTTCAAGAGTGATCACAGCCCAAATGAATCATTATTTAAAATATTTCCTTTTCATAAGCAGCTAATATTTTAAAAAACAAATATGCAAGACTGGGATGATGCAAGTAATACCTCAAGCATGTCAATAGCAAATTAGCATAAATCAGATAAACCACCCACAGATTTGTTGTTATTGCTTGATGTTCTTCATTACAGGAGAAGAAAGTAACTTTTTTTAGTGACAGTAAATTTTGCAGAGATTACACAAGACACAGACACACATCTTAAGCTGGTCAGAAAGATGCTCTAAACTGTAGATCTGTATCTGTAGCCTCATACTGGAAAATGTTTTCATTAAGGTCAAAGGGATTTTTTTACCAAATGAAATGTATAAAAATTTGGAGAATCTAAATTGCAAGTCTGACTATTCGACAGAAAGAAATAAAAACACCAGATCATATGTATTTCAGCTAAGTCAGGTTATATTTTTATAAAATTGAGTTTTCCTTGCAAATTAAAGCCAGACGCAGAAAACACTAAGTTATTGTTCCCAAAATTCAGATGTTGCCTTAAGTATCAGAAGTGCATACATCTATTTTGGAAGTCTGAGAGATCACATATTAAGTGCCTTAACAGTTTCTAGTTTTCCATTCCAGCCAACTGGAACATGTTACGAGTATTAGTAACACATTTTCTATCTGGCTATCTCAGCAATGATGTTTACAGCTGTTGTAATAAAACTGCATTCTTATAAAGGTATCTATTTTTGGTAACACATCATAATGAATTTTGCAACTGCCAACTTTTTTTTTTACTTATTAAATTTTAATTAAAAGCTGGTATTAATTTATATCTCTATCACTTTAATCTCTTGATAATATTGTGACTAACATGCCTTAGCTCAGTTTTTACTTTGCTGAGAGAGACTGAGAACTTTTAAGCCAACTTTTAAAAATAGGAAAAGCATAGTGCAGAGACATTAACTGCTGGATTGTGAATTATACTAAGCATAGATAATATACCTGTTAAAAAAACACGAGAGGAAAAATCCTCTCCACTGTTATTTCTACAACCAAGAGACTGCTGTCTGCTCACTGCTCCCAGTATCAGCAATGCCCTCCCCCGATTTCTGTTTCTCTAACATGGTTCTCAGTGAGTACATGTTGCAATGTAAACTCAATTGATTTCTTTCCTTTTCTGCTGGGCTGTTCTGCCTTCTCACCTGCCACAGTCAGACACTAATCCTGAGAATCAAAGGGTAATGTTAAGCATGTGGGATTGAGTCTTTGTAAGCCTGAGCCCCCAGACAGACAAGGTCTTGGCTCCCAAGAGGGTCTATTGTACTGCTGACTCCATAGAAATAACAGCAACTCATCCAGGCTGGGAAAAATCCTATCTCTGAGAGCTCCAAGAAAAACATGAATGTTATGAGGACAAGTCAGATGCCAAGTGTTCCTGCCAGCAGGGCACAGAAAATAATGAAAGGTGGGGGAGGTGAAGGACGTTGTCACATCCAAGAGTTGTGCTCTAGGAGTCAGAAGGCATCTGGGGTGAGGAAGGGCCAGGGACAAGTCTGAAGGAAGGGCCTGACACTGCTGAGACCACCAGGTAAGGCTTGAAGTGGGTCAGCATACCCATCACTGCTCTGAATTCGGGTTAGCCTCCAATCCAGAGAAGCAGACCAGAACAACTGTCCAGTGTCCTTCCCTAGGGACAGATCTGCAATAAATGCTGTAGGAGTAAAAGAAGAGGGGAAGCAGAGAGTAATACCTTCCTGGCAAACTCTCCCAGTCTCTAGCAATTTGTGGCCAAGGACTTCCTGAGTCAGAGCTAATATCATCATACTTAATAAGCCCTGGAGTTTTCCTTCACTGAATTTGTCTAAACTTGGAGAGGGGAATTTCAACCTGGACCTTTCAGCTTGATTAGAGACAGTTATCTTTGCGAGAAAGGTTAGCAACAGTTTA